CGTTGGAAAAAGTTTTCTGCTTGAAGATAATGTTTCATGATTGGATTGTGGAAATGGAAATCATTCTTCACTCCCTCCACCTCTTCCAAAAATTCTCCCTGGCCCACGTGTTCGAAGACTTGACAAGTTCAAGGTCACTCAAGCCCTGTTGGCGAAAAGACACGAAGATGGAAAGTCTATATGTGCTCATGTCTTGGATATGAAGTTGGACATTGATAGATTGGGAATGTTGGGTGTCAAAGTCTCGGAAAAGTTGGCTGTTGACTTGGTTCTTCACTTACTTCCCGAATCATATGCAAATTTCGTTAGAGAGTAATATATGATGGAACACGACGTAACCCTCATTGATTTGAATTATTTGCTTATTGCTTCTGAATCATAAATGATTTGGCGCACTGATCAAGAAAATTTGTCTGGTAAATCAATATCCCAACCTTCTATGGGCAATGGCAACATTGGAAGTCTAGAAAAGTTTTATCTTCGCAAGAGAAAGGTTGAGCCTGAGATAGTCCCGTGTACCATTCCAGAAGCATCCATATGTTTCTACTACTAAAAGAGGGTGCATTGGTTACGATGCTGCCCTGACTACCTGAGAGATCTAAGAGATGGGGGAGTTAAGATTTATGACTCTACTTCAGGTAAAATCCACTATCTAACTCTATTAAGTTCCTATTTATAGATTCTAAATACACGATGTGATAAGATTACATTTGGTGTTTTGTAGGATTGAAGAAAAGAAAGGAAGCTTAAAGGAAGAAGCGTGTTGAGTTTGATCGCGAAGAAATGAATTTCGATCGTATGGTTCGATGATCGGATTTTATTAGCTGCTACTTAGGGAGTTGTGATAGATTGCTTAGGATTATGTAATAATATAGTTTTCATTTGAATTTCATTGTAAGGAAAAGTTTTTCCGCACCTTTTATAAATTAAATAAATTTTGGTTTTTGTCTTATTCGTATATTTCCTTTCAATGGCATGTGTGAAAAATGATGTTTGTGTATATCTTTTTTTAGCAATTTTGAAATGGATGTGATTCCTAGTTATGCTATTTGTGGTAATGTCGAGAATTTACCAAATAAGGATAGATTCTTGTCACCCGAGTTTCAATTGGACAGAAACTTGGAATCATACAACTTGTATTGTATGATGAATAAGAACCTTCATATTTGGAAATTTAAGACTAATTCCTTGACAAAGAGTGAAGTGAAGGACTAGGAGAACTGGTACACAATGTTGTGCACTGGTCATGTCCACCATAAAGAATAATAAGATTATTCGTCATGATTTACTAAAAGTCTAGTAAATGTGGTTATGCATACAAGATTAAGTATAATTCTGAATCATTGAAAATTTTCAATGAATGACAGAACGGACAAGAATAATCAAATAGGCAGAAAGATAAAAGTTTCTCCAATCTGAAAAGATGGGAGAGTACTTTAGTATCATGTTTTATGATCGTCTTGTTGATTATGAAACCATATCAAAATTAATCCTCTAAGGACACCTTAGTGCACTAGCATGGCTAAGAAGAGGAATCAGAATTTGTTGAAATGGTTAAATCAAAAGGATGAGTCATACTTTGTTCCAAAATCAAGTCTTAAAGTCACACTCCAAGATTGTGACTTAAGTGACACATCTTAAGAAGTTTTAACACACTCATCAAACGTGGAGTATAAAATGCTTTCTTACTCTTTGTGACATCCCCAAAATCTCGGCCAGAAAAGACCGATTTTCATTTATGCTTTTAAAATAATTTCAGAGTAAATCCTTTTGATTTGAAAGAGTTGCGGGATTGTTCCCAAAAACAAAACATGATAAAACAATGTTTACCAAAGCATTTCATAAAAGAAATGTATTTTCATTATATAATCAAAACTCGGAGTGTCATGTTCCGATACAGACCAATAAGCATAAATGATAACATTACAAGTCATTCAACAAATATATACATATACAGACTTGTAAACAAAACAACTTGATGGTTCATCCATCTTACGCCCTTGCGCCACTTCCTGTAATACAAATAAAACTGAGTGGGTCAGGCTTGGGAGCCTGGTGAGCATATAGGGTTTTCAACCCACAATAAATAATTAAATTGATTATTATCAACCAACAATAACCCAATTACCCATTCCCGTTATTCTCACTTTATGTCCCTAAAATAACTAACACAAGGGACCTAGTCTAAGAATATTTCATCGGGGTGACAACACATGCTTCGGGGGTTCCTCAGCAATATAAGTCAAATAAGGCAACCATGAGGGGGATGGAATACAACGAATGAACACCAAAGTTCATTAACACCTACACGTTATGAGCCTACTAGCGTTCCACTAGACTGTCTAGAAAAGTCCGTGGTCGTCATCTAAATTCCGCTAGATGACTGAATCAAAACAACAACGAGGCCTCTCATCTGTTTATTACACACCAACTATCTACCCATGTTCTACCCAACATATTAGTAGATAAAAACATACATTTTTATACATATTTTCAAAACCTGTATAACATGTTTGATCAATACATTTTCCATATAACAGATGGGGCACACATACATAACACGTATTTCATATAGAAATAATCAGATCTGTAAGATAGAAGAAAGTGAATATACATTCACACACATAACAACAAAATATACACATAACACGTATCTTGTATAAAATACTTCATAAATATACGTTAGGAGAAAGTAACAACACACTCACACATATAAACAACAATATACTTAATACACTCAAACCATACTTGTATTATTATTGCGTTTATGAAAGGTAGTATACACTCACTTGATCAGAAGATGATCGGACAACACTACGACTTGCAAAAGTAGTAATCCTCAGCAGATCTGGAAGATCTCTACAAAAATCGAACTTCTCGCGGGCAGAGCTTCGGCTCGGAAACCGCACTTTTCGGGATCTTCGGGATCTTGGGACTTGCTTCGGGACTCGGGAATATTACCGGGGCTTCGGGGTATTTCTGGCACGCAAATTGAGGCAAAACAGGAGAGAGAATGGAGAAAATAGCAAAGAAGCCGGCTGCCCTCGCATCCTATTTATAGGAGGCTGGGAGCCTCAATTACGCGGGGGCGTACAGCAGTACGCGGGGCGTACTGGCGTCCGAAATCGTCACTGCATGCATCATCCGAAGTGTCGACACTCTCGGCGTACGCGGGGCGTACTCCGGATGAGCCCGGTGACTCGCCTTCGGATAAGGCCGGATTTAATAATTAAATTTAATTATTAATTATTTAATAAACTTCGGAAATTCATATCTTCTTCATACAAACTCTGTTTTCGACGTTCTTTATATCCACGCGAAGGTGAGACTATGCTCTACAACTTTTGTTTAGACTCCGTCGGCTAATTTTGATTTTATTTTTATTATTTATTTTTAATAGGCCGGGACAGAAAATTTCGTTATAAATTCATAACTTCTTCGTTTGACGTCCGTTCTCGCCTAACTTTTTATCTCTTTGATACTAATAACGAGATCTTCGATTCTCGTTTAGATCACTAAGGCTAAATATCAATCTAACGTAATTTTCACTTTTTACGTCATTCAACGGTGACGGTTTTGCCGCGAAACTTCGACAGGTCATAACTTCCTCGTTATAACTCGGATTTCGGCATTCTTTATATCTTCGGAAACCTTGTTTCAACTACTACAACATTATCTAAAGATATCAAGTTTATTATACACTTCAATTTTGACGCTTATTTTTATTCTTAATTAATCAAACCACATAATTAAGCAATTAAGCACAAAACGCATAATACTCAAATAATACACTTCTATTATTTCAAAACGGGTTACAAAGGTTAACCTAGACTATTACATTGCTAAAAATGGAAAGCCCAGAAACACAGGCGTTACACTCTTGCACGTTTGAAATTGGTAAATTGTGATGTTTTGGATAAGACAAAGACCAACTAATACCAATTACGTTTAGTGTTTGTCTTGATAAGAATCTGCACTAACTCTTGAATATTTGGTTGTGAAGAAATGTTTCTTAACAAAAGAATCTTATATGTCAAGAGGAGATTATACTGTTAAATGTCCACGTAAAATTCATAACTTCTACATACACATTCCGTTTTCGTCTGTATTTTTATTGTTGAGTTCCTATTAATAAGATCTTAAACTCTCATTTAGGTCACATAGGCGAAAAACCGCTCGAACTAAAATTCAAGTTTCGGGTCGTGCACTGTTATGCCAAATCTTAGAATATTCATAACTTCCTCATACGAAGTCAGATTTGGGAGTTCTTTTTTTTTGTATGTTCTTGGTTTAACGTATACTACAACTTTTTTTAGATCACTAAGGCTAAAAAGTTCTTTATCAAAAATTCATTATTTACGTCTCCCGGTGCCGTGTCGGTTTTGCCGTACAACTGCAATGGGCCATAACTTCTTCGTTATAACTTGGATTTCGGCGTTCTTTATATGTACGGAACCCTTGAGACATATTCTACTACTTGGTTAAGATTATATATTCTAAATAATCTTTTGTCAAAAAGTCATTTTCGACATCTATTATCTCTAAATTGTCGAGCCTGGATCTACGGGCGTTACATAAAGCATTATGGGGCAGGGTATATAACCTATCACTGCCCTCCTTCAAACCCTAACCCTAACAATCTGTTCAGCTGCTACCCTCACAAGTGACCACATTTGACGCTGCCAACCTTGTATCCCCATCAACGGCCATCACTTAGTCGAGTTCGAACGCCACCATCCACAACCCTACTGCTGCCAGTGATGCGGTGAGCAGTAAAGATCTTCATGTGGGTAACCCCAAAAACCGTGAGGCGAGATTGATGCTGCTATACTCGGTGGGTTTCGCACAACCACCTTCCTTTTTCATTTCTTTCCGACATTGCATCACCGCTACTGTTCCAACCAACTACTTTTCTACGCTCTATTTGTCCTCCGCCACTTGTTCCTCCACTGTTGGATTGATGTGGCTGTCATCGCCATGCGACTATTCCGTTGTGACTGATGTTCTTCGGCCGTTGCTTTAACCGAAGTCCGTCACCACCTTTGTGGCCATCAACGACACTGATTCCTCCGACTATCCCAATGTCATTACAAACCATCAGTGATTGCCTCAGCTGCCCGCCATTTCATGCCATCACTATCGTCGGACGCTACCAGGTAGGTGGCTAGATCTATTTCACAAACATTAAACAGGAGAGTATGTGTGTGTGGTTCTTGGTCGGAAATCACAAGAGGGCCACCACCACCACCGTGAGGTGGTGGCTAATACCTCCGACCATCACCTACCGCCACAGAGCGATTGTGTATGTGTTATTTTATGTGTGTGTGTGTTTATTCAATATTCGATGTAAAATGTATTGTATGGCCGGAATAATCAAAGAAAACAACTCGTCACCACCACGAGGTGGTGGTTGCCACCTCGCGTCACCATTCTAACCCCACTGGCTGCCATCGTGGGTGGTTGTGTGATTTTGCGTGTGTGATTGTCATTTTGAGATGCTTGGATATTTTTTTAGCTAAAAGTCATAACCACCACCACAAGGTGGTGGCCGCCGCCGTTGACCACCACTACCCAAGGTGATAATGGGTGGTATCCAACTTGTTTAACCCTAATAGGCCCAATGAAGCCTAACTGACCTAAAAGCCTAACCATGTGACTAATGGGCTAGTATTTGGGTTGGAAACCCTAATTAGGGTTTGGAAAACCCTAATGTCATGAAACCCTAATTTTGGGGATTTGATCGGGACCCGTACTGGAATTATTTATTAGACTGAAAATGTTAATTAATAATCATTTACAATTAACCTAAGGCAATATTGGACTTAATGGATTAAGTCCTTAATGGGTTAAGTAGGAACACTTAAGCCTAATCGTCATTTCATATGAAAACCCTAATTTCACTTGGGCCTTGAGTTAGGCCTTTCTATTAGGAATTGGTGATTGAGCTACTGATGCGTTATCCAAGAACAAGTAAATGGACTAAAATATTTGGATGGGCTTTAGGGTAAGGCCATGTGAGGTTTTAGGCCCAATTTGGAAAATTAAGCCATGGATGGGCCCTAACTGGGCCTTGACGATGATGAGAGGTTGGACCAATTGAAATGCCAAATGTTTGGACTGGACTAAGTGGTTGGGCTTACGCTAAGACCATGTAAAGGTTGTGCACAATTTGGAAAATTGGGCCATATGTTGGACTTTGGCCTATTACTTGACTATTAGGCCTTTGGAGTGTAAGTTAGACCTTGGGATTGGAACCCAATTATTAATTGGGTATTGTTTGATGTTGACAGTTCGGGAACCTGTCATCTAGCAGCTAGGATTTTTCTTGTAGGACTTCAGCAGTGTGAGGTGAGTTATTATCACTATACTAACAAGGTCAAAAGCGCCAATGTCGGCCCTTTTCCGATTTGTATCCAGGTTTATTGCATGATATGCTTATTTATTTACATCCTGGTAGTTACGATGGTGATATGCTTAGTAACATGGTTAGGTCGGTGTCCTAGTATATAGAATGATGTTATGTTAGTGATCGGTTAGGTCTGTATCCTGGTTATAGGATGTTGCTATGATTAGTGATCTGTTAGATCAGTTTGACTGTTATATATGCTAGCGTATGATATTTATGTGCACATGTTTGTTTGATTGGGGTTGGGTTGAGGCGGTCCTTCTTTGTGCTGAAGGCCAACGTACCCAGGGCGGTCCGGATAGACTGAAGGCCCTGCATGGGGGTTTAGTCAGGCTAAAGGCCCGACGAGCGTTCTGGATAGGCTGTTTCCCATACGAGTCGGTCCAGATGTGTTGAAGGCTCAGAGAGCGGTCTAGATAGGCTGAAGGCGTGCGAGACTGTCTAGTAGGCTGAAGGCTCATTATGCATGTTGTTTGCTTATATGTTATTGATATTTTTATGGTGTTGGTATTTTAGGAAACTCACTAAGCTTCGAGCTTACATTTGTTGATTATGTTTCACATATTTCTGATGATCGCGGGAAGGTGAAGGTGTGATCGTGCACCTCCTTATATTTTTCATGATTGATTATGGGGATACTCTGATGTTTAAACAAACTTTGTAATAATTAATGGTTTTAAATGATCCAAAAAGTTTTAAATTGGCTTGATTTTCTAGGATGTTATAGTAGAAGTAGGTTTTTCAGCAATCTTGGATGAAGAAGAAGAAGAAGAAAAAGAAGAAAAATTTGCAACAGGCATGATGAAGAGAATAAGAAGAATATTGACAGGAGAAGGAAGGGATCGACTAGGGTTTAGAGGATTTTCGGTCCTGATACCATGTAAAGATGTAATTTCCCATGAAAGAATCTCATTAATTGGAAACGTATATATACACATACAATATAAAAAGGGCCACAGTACAATGGGCCAAAATACCTAGCAAAAACAATACAATTACAATAAGTTCGTTAACAAAGTTAATTACAATATAAAAAAGGCGATAATACATGAAAGAAGATGTTGTGTTATAGTGATTGTGGAAAAGGCAATTGTGAAATGAAACATAATCAAAAGAGATGGAAGGCTTAGTCACTGAAGTCGCAAATTCTAAGCCTACCAAAGTTGTAGATACTTGACTTGGGAAGGTTGAGTCCTTGGGTATCTTTTCTGTTAAGTTCTTTAAGTTGTTTGATAGCTGAGAAAATGTATTCAAAAATCCATCTTCAAGGTTTTAGGTGGGTTAATTGGGCTCCAATCAAATTTAATTGCTTTGTTTGGAAGATGTTGCTTAATATGGTTCCACTACTCCAAATATGAGATCAAAGGTGTTGCTCTCAATTCCATGGTGTGTCCTTTTTTCCATTCTGAGGATGAGGATGTTGATCGTATTTTTTTTTTTTCAATTTCAGGTTCTTGGCTGATATTTGGGATTGGTTTGGTGGTGGGTGTGGGTTGCTTCCTATTATCCCGATAAATAAAGAATACTTGCTTATGGCTTTGATAGCCACCGATCTCGAAAAGAAAATGAGAAAGTCATGTTGGTTCTGCTTTATTCAGTGATCTGGATCATTTGTAAGGCTTGCAACAAAGTGTTTTTTTCACATAAAGCAATGTTCTTTCCTAAAGACAACATATGCTACCTAGGTGACTTCATTTAATTCGACAAATCATAGATATTATTTTAATTGTCTTCGTTGGTTCGATTGATGCAGTTCACCCTTTAAAGCTTGTAATTTATAATTGTTGTACTCTATTTTGTTCTAGCATCTTGCTCATCCTTTTAAAGTATCCGTCGTTCAAAAAAATTGTTACATGAGTGCTAATTTTCATTTTCAGCAGAAAAAAAAAAATAAACAAATTGAATACATAATCAAAAAAAAAAATTCTATCAATATTCTTATTCATATAAAATAATGGCATATAGAATCTATTAATTATAGTTTTTAATATTCTTTTTTGGACGAATGAATAGGAAAGATAAATAAAAACAAAAGAAAAACAATACTTTCTCTTATATTATTGTAATCAAGTTAGCTATACGTTTTAAATAACTTTCTTGGATGTATACTTTAGACCTTCCTGTACATTCAATAAACAAAAAACGTTTTTTTAGGAGTTTTATATACTTTTAACGAAAATAAAAGAAAATCGGTGCATTTAACTTTAAGACAAAAGCCAGATGAAGACTTGTTAATTTGTTTCATATAACACTTATTATCCCTTCAACCTTTTTTTTATATATTTTAAGAAAGCAAAACGACAAACACTCTGAAGTTATATAAATTCAATTGGATTTTATTGTTACATTTTTAACTATTTTCGCATTATTTACAGACAGTAAAAAAGATCAGAGCAGTCTGAAATTCCATAACCCATGTTGCTCACGTGTACTAAGTTTATTAGATTTTGTCTAAAGTGCAACAAGATCATCGTTTAAAAGTAATTAACTAGTTTTATTACAATAATTTATTTAAAATATTAGGGGGTTAGCTTTTTAGACATTGACACGTGCCTGACTCAGATTTTGAGTAATTAAAAACGAAGTAAAAATAAAAATTTGCTAAAATTGAACAAACTTGAAAACGAAGCAATTAAATACCCGAAACCCCAGAAGAAAAGATTCCGGCGTGCACTAACAATTATACTAATACTTCTCGCCGATCGACGCTTTTTCATCCAATCAAACCGCTACGTGTCTATCCCTCACCAACCCCTCTGTATCCAATTACCCTCCATGTGGCATTTTAAACTAAACGAATTGTGTTTTTAAATATAATTATATCGTATCGTTGTATTAATTTAAAATATTAAATTTTATATTAAGTTGATGTAAAAGGTATATTTTAATAAGAAATTAGTACAGGCGGGTATCCCTTTTATTTCATCGGAATCGGTACTGGCGGTTTCTGTGAAGTTAGAACTGGAACCGAAATCGGTTTAGAAGGTTTTTAAATTTTTGGAACAAGTCCCGCAACTGATAGTTTCAGTTACATGAGCGGGTAAACCGGTTACGTCATTTTTTAGTTTCGTGAAATGCATATTTATTCATATATTTTGTGTATTATCTTAATATTTTGAGATACAATTGTGCTTATTTTAGGATACAATATACTTAATATGTTTGAAATATGTTTTGTATTAGTGAATACATGCTCGGGATAAAAAAGAAACGAATTGCAGAGCTCAACCAATGTCATAGAAATCATGAATTGTGAAGCCCGCAGCATGGAGATCGTTAGCCATGTCGTGGTGAAGAGAAGATTCGCGACCAGAGAAGCTGACTTGGGGAATACACGTGATTACAAATTGCCACGCCTGGGAGCCTGTTTACCACGGCGTGGAAGCCTTCTTTTGGAAACTATAAATACTTCGGTTCTACCTTCAACCATAACAGATGCTTCAAGTTATTCTCAACTATTAAAGACTAAAAACCCTTGGAAGTTCAGAAATCGATTGGAGCTAAATTGTTAAAGAGATCTAGAATAAAACAACATTAAATCTTTCAGTTTGCTAGCTTTAACTATGTCTAGTATTATTTGTTTCGATTATATGCGTTTTTTTGCTATGATTATGGGCTAAAGCTTCTACTTTCGTAGGTGATGATGGACCCTTTGAAGTATGTGCTAATTTTATTCTTATGACTAATTATGTTATTTTTTCTAGTGTTGATAAATAAAAACCTTTCATGTTTAAGTTCTAGTTTTTATTTGCCTTGATACAAGTTTTATGTAGTAGAAGATCCTTCTGTTTGCATGAATTTGTTTACCTTGTGGTTTATGATCATTAAATTGCTAAAGCTAAGATTGAACAAATCTTAGATTATGTAATTAAAGTTGATAACTTTAACTATGTTAGAGAGCATAATTGATCCATAATTTGTGTTTGGTTGCTTGACTTGATCATACAAAAGTAACTCTTAGATTTATCGTGCATAGCCAAATTTATCTTAATATCAGTTTCGTGTTTACTTGTGTTTAATCATAACATAGTAAGTCAAAGGTTCTTGGTGCTTGTTTTAACTCATAAACAACATTATCCAAAATATAACAATGATCAGGGAAGTCTTCATTTATAAAACCTGGAGGTTGTTTGACATACACCATCTCTTCGACTTCACCGTTGAGAAACACACACTTGACAACCTTCTGGTAGACATCAAAATCCTTGTGTGCTACATAGGCTAAAAATATTCGAACTGTCTTGAGTCTTGCGACAAGAGTGAAGGTTTCCTCAAAGTCTATACCTTCTTGTTGAGAATAACCTTTAACTACAGGCCTAGCTTTGTTTCGAAGAATATTACCATCTTTATCTCATTCTTTGCACGGAGTTCAGCTCGTGTTAACACGCTATCACAAGGATCACCAAGAACTTGTTCCTTTGGATGACTTCGCGTCCATTTATCCATTGGAGGATATACTGGATCAAAGTCCAAAGGTGCATCTTCGAATTCTTCTTCATTCTCCAAGTCATCTCCTGCATTCGACACATTGTCAACCAAATCATGAAAAACATCACTTGAAGAAGTTGGTATAGATCCATTTTGCTCCGCCTCAACATTTGGATCATTTGTATGATGCTCCCCCCCCCCCCCGCCCTCAACATTTGCAATTTCTTGATTTTGCACATTGTCGAAAGGTTGCTCCCCCTCAACTTCATCGGTCGAACTCAAGTGTTGCCCCTCCACTCGAGCATTGGGTTGAACTATTACACTATTGACATGTATTGGAGAATTTGTTGATGACTTTAAATCTGCAATTTGCTGTATCACTGTCAAATTCTCAAAGTGTTTCAATGCTTCTGAAATTCGGTTATCCTCAACATTAACTTCCGCATCAATAGCCCTATCAGGAGTACCAAAAATTAAATCATAATCAAAATCTAACGAATTAAAACTTTCAGATTCATCCTTTGATTCATTAAGGATTGGGTTTTGTTCAAAACATTTTTCGACTCTTTTGACATAGTGATCGTCGAATGTAAGATTAAAGGTCACTTCGATTTTCCTAGTTCGCTTGTTGAGCACCCTATATGCCACAAAATTATGAGAATAGCCTAAGAATATTCCTTCATCAGCCTTAGACTGAAATTTCGAAAAATTATCCTTATGATTCATAATGAAGCACCTGCAACCAAAAACATGAAAATATTTAACATTTGGTTTCCTTTTGTTAGTGATTTCATAAAGGGTAATATCAAATCTTTTATGAATAAAAGACCGATTTTGAGTAAAACAAGCAGTTGAAACAGCTTCAGCCCAGAGATATTGTGGAATATTCGCATAAGTCAACATCGTTCTGATTGCTTCATAAAGTAAACGATTTCTCCTTTCGACAACACCATTCGGTTGAGGTGTGTAAGGAGATGAGAAATTATGCAAAATTCCTTTATCAGCTAAAAACGGATTAATAATCTTGTTCTTGAATTCTGAGTCATTAGTACTCTTGATATTGCAAACCTTTTTCTTTAAGCTTAACTCGATGTGTTTGATGAAATTGATCATCACTTGAGTTTTCTGATTTTAAACGAAGAAACTATACCCAAGTAAACCTAGAAAAAATATCAACTATAACCAAAATGTACCTCTTTTTGTTGAGTGTTTCAACTGTTGAAGGACCACAAAGGTCAATATGATGAAGTTCCAAATGCTCGATAATCTTCGAGTCAATCACAATTGGATGTCCTTATCAATGTTGTTTTCCTTGTTCGCAAGCTGCACATAAAGTATCATTATCAAATTTTAAAACTGGCAAACCTCAACCAAGATCTTTTACCACCAATTTATTCAGATTCTTAAAGTTCAAACGAGACAATCTTTGATGCTATATCCAACTTATATTTGAGGAAGCCTTCGAAAGTAGACAAACTAAAGGAAAACCAATAATGGGTTTGATGTAAAGTGTTAACATATCGCCTAAGAAAAACTTCTTTTGTTTCTTTGTTTGATATGACACTTCCTTCTTCGTCAAAAACAACCTGATTACCAGTGCCCACAACAAGTTGCGAAACACTGATCAAATTATGTTGAAGACCTTCGACATAAGCAACTCTGTTGACTATAAATTTTCCATTGGTCACCTTCTCATAGCCTTTGACTTTACACTTGCTATTATTTCCGTACTTCACAACACCAACATTCTCAATACTTCGATAATCTCTCAGGCTTTCCTTTTTCCCAATCATGTGATGAGTGTAACCATTATCGATATACCATTTTGTTAGAACGTAGTTCTTTCAGGATCGATTGATTCTAAACATGCAAACAAATAAGTACGTAAAGTAAACACGAATATGGATTGAATACGTTGAATGATTAATACTTCAAAACCTCAGAAGAGCTCGATTAAGAACTTCGACTATAAAGGTGTATTAGGGTTACAAAACTCAAGCGTTTTTGTTTAAAAGAACGTCTCCCCATAATGCATACATGCATGCATATATATATAGTCTAACCCCAAGAGATAATCACGGATCGACAAGCCCAATCCGGATATATACAAAAAGATCTAAGACGCAACACAGTAAACCCCAACACATTTATCATCGTATAACTCGTCACACAAAACCTGCAATCAGTTAAAGAATTTAGGTCCCCAAGGTTGTTTGATTCCTTGGTTATTAGAAAAAAATGATTGATGAAATGAAGATCCTATTATCCAATTACGCA